CTTCTGCCATCAACCCCCCTTGAGGTATGGTCAAATTACAAAAAACCCTCTCTTGTTTGGATAATTACATCTACCCCCCTCAACTATGAGTTTTTCTTACACCTCCACCCTTATGGTGCCAAATTCAACATAATCATCTAGATTCCGTAAAATGTGCTCTAGTTTGTACTCATTTTGTGTAAAAATACAGTTTCCGATGCACGAAAAACTGATATATACAAGCTAAAAATCACATATTATGATCATCTTGCTTCATAATGTAGCGCTTGAATGAGATAAAACGGGTACAAAAGTGATAATATTCCATATAATCTCGAAGATTTCACTAAATTTGAGGAGTTGAGGGGGTGGTTGTAATTATCCAAACAAGAGGGGTGTTTTTGTAATTTGGCCATACCTCAGGGGGGTGTTTGTAATTTACCCTATATATATATATATATGAAAAAATGCACTTCACCGCCTATAAATTTTCCTTTTTTGTACTTTCCCCCTTAAAAATTCAAAAACTAGATAATCTCCATTCAAAATATTATTTTGGTTGCACTCTGCCCCATAAGCCAATTTTTGGTGGGCATTGTGCAACAAAAGTAATCCTTTAAAGGGGCAATGTGCAAAGATAATGTTTTTAAGGGGTAACATGCAACAAAAATAATATATAAAGGGGCAATGTGCAACAAAAATATTCAAATACCGATGAATAATCCATCGAAATTTTACTATGGGGGCAATTTGCAACAAGAATAACATTTTGAAGGGGGAACATTCACGTTTTAAAATTTTGAGGGGCTGGGGTAAAGTGTGAAAATTAGAAATTTTTAGGGGGTGATGTGCAATTTGTCCATATATATATAGTTGAACCTCTATAAATTAATACAGTCCGGACTAGGGAAATTCTATTTATTTAGCGAATTATTAAAGTATCGAATTAATAATTTAATATATTTTTACTGAGTCCGGACCGAGAGAAACTATTATTTAAGCGAGGTTATTAATTTATCGAGGTTTTATTGTATATATATATACTATACTTACAAGAATTAACATGGCACCACCTGAAGCAGGAGGCGGTGCGGTAACTATTTCATATCCGAAAACATTCGCGACCAAAGGTTTCCTCGTAATAGCTCGATATTTCTGAAAGTCTTCCTTTTTTATTATCCCACCCGCCTTTTGAATGTCGTTGCTTAAGCTCTGCGCGATCGATCCATTATAAAAGTCGTTCATGCCGTGTTTCGATACGGACGCTAGCGTATCGGCCAACTTTTTGAAATAAATGGTCTTCCCTTTAGACACGAGCCTTCCTTTGGGCGCAAACACGCTTCGTAGCTCCTTATTCGACATGATAGTTGACTTCACACTTGCCAGTGTCTTCGACAGAAACGACGAAACGATGAAGCCGTTACGGGCGAGATTTTCGGCCGGTTTGACGAGTGATTCCCATGGAATCTTCCCGTATTCTTTGTGGGCCGTGTAGAGACCTGCGAGTTCTCCGGGGACTGCTATTGACAGAGGACTATCTTTCTTCTTAGAAGACTCTTTATCAAACATACCCTAGGAAATTCCGAAACCACGGTGAATGCTAAAATCGGACAAAATATATATATACAAATAGGCATGTGTAACATAGAAATTCACCCGATGTAACCTTCAATAGGTGTAACATAGAAATGTACATAATATTACAGCCGACCCCCTCCTTTTAAATATTTTTACATAAAATTTATGTAATTCATTTATTTACCGAACCAAATCGTATATTCAGTTCGGTAAACGGTATGAAATATTGGCGTACCGAAATTTTGGTTCGGTTTTACCGATTTAACATCCCTAAATTTACCTATGGAGAGTTTTTTTCCGTAAGATAATAAATAGTTGGGGTGGCTGTAATTACCCAAACATGAGGGGGGGTTTGTAATTTAACCATAACTCAGGTGTGACCGTAATTTGCCCTTAAATAGATTACCTAATGTATAGTGGTGAAAAAGAAATTGGACTAGGGTTACCTAATGTTTATCATTCATATGCACACAAACACACACCGACATTGATGTTGTGTAGATCTAACAGTAAAAATTCACCCAATGTAACCTTTAGCAATGAAGCTATTGATAAAAAAATGTACCTTGGAGGCTCGGCCAGGTGCCATTTCTCTCATGTCAAACACTTTCGAATCGCCGGTCGATGATCTGACGAGCATAAATCCTCCGCCGCCAAGACCGCTGTAAAACGGGCTAACAACTCCCAAGCAAAGCGCAGCAGCTACCGCTGCATCGACAGCGTGACCTCCTCGTTTAAGTACGTCCCTTCCAATTATAGAGCATTCCGTTTCATCAGTCGCTACGACACCATTCCGTGCTACAACTCTCTCCTGATCTCCGGCGGCATCGGTATTTGAAGCCGAAAGCAGAAGCAAGAAGACAACGGCAAAACTAAGTAGAGATGTCCGACAAACTGCAATGATGAAATCCAAAGTTCGTTAAAGCTGTGTTTGGATCAAAATATTTCCGAGCATATATCAAATTTACGTACCGTGGAGAAACATTGTGGGATGAAAAAGAAAAAAATGCTTCACCAAATACTTACTAATAGATTAGGCATTATTTAACTGAAGAAGATAGCAATTAATCTTCACTTATCCCCCTCTTCTTATCAATAGTGTGTGGCATTAAATTTTTTTGTCTCTTCATTTAGAAATGGAAAACCTAAGAAGGCATTGATTAGTAATCAACTTCTTCAATGAGAAAAACAAAAGCAAAATGTTGTGTTCAAAAGTCAAGCCATTTTCATTAGGTTACAAAAATCATAAATGATAATGCTCTAGGAACAATAAATGGAGTTTCATCAATAGAGTAAGCAATTTTCCCATGATAAATCTACATTTAATTCTAGGGAAAATTACGGCCAACTACCTGAGGTAAGCGCAAATTACGAAAAACACCTCTCATGTTTGATAATTACAACGACCCCCTCAACTCTGTGTTGTCTTACTAAAAAACACCTCTTTCAATATGTTTGACACCATGAGGGTGGACGCGTAAGAAAATACATAAGGGGTTCCGTTGAAAATATTATACACGAAATAACTGTTTAAATAGAGATATAAGTTTTTATTAAGTAAAAATATGCAAAATAATCATATCCCGTTTATATTATTTCGAGCACATCTTCACTTGCAAGCCAAGCTTAGCAACAAAACAAGATGAAGATTGCATATAAAAGAACAAAGAGTAATTCAAAGAACAACTAGTTTCGAGAAAAAAAAATAAGGCGGGATATCAGTATCCGGCAGGAAATCCGCCTTTTCGTTGGTCGCTCACAGCAATAAGTTGACCGGAATCCGGACCCTCTAACTTCTGAACTACAAACTGGCATATAGTCCAACCATAACCCTTTTTCAATACATGGCCTTTTCTTTGCCATTGCCTCAACATGTAATCGGGAAAATAATACTCGCTACCGTTTTGAGACCTGTATTTCTCATGGTAAAGCACATTCGGATACAGCTGCATAAACAGAAGTTTTTTAAGTTACCACAACAAAGTCTAAAAATAAAAATGGGTAAATTACAACCACCCCTGAGGTATGGTTAAATTACAAAAAACCCCCTCTTGTTTGGGTAATTACAAAACCCCCCCTCAACTAAGCATTTTTTTTTTGTTTTCATTGATTCCCCAAAACAAAATTGTATTTATTAAACTTTTCAAATTATTTTCTCAAAACAATTTCAAAAGTTTCTCTCTCCTTTAGACATGATGTGACTGCTACACTAAAATGATTTGACTACTACAGTAAAATATGTCTTCACTAAAAAACAGATAAACATCACTTCTTCTTTCAATTTTTTTCTTCTAAAATATTTTCTTCTAACACCTTTAAACATGATTTGACTCCTACAGTGTATTTTGTCCCCTTCCAAAATATAAACAAACATTACTTTTATTCTCAAATTCTTCCCCCAAAACATATTTCCTCAAAATGAAATTAAAATGAGTTCCAAAACGAACAATGCCTAAATCTTCTTACACGTCCACCCTTGCGGTTTCAAATTTGGTGGAATCTTTGAGATTATATGGAATATTATCACTTTTGTACCCGCTTTATCCCATTCGAACTCCACATTTTAGAGCAAAATGATCATAATATGTGTTTTTTGGCTTGTATATATCAGATTGTGGTGCATCAGAAACTGTATTTTTACACGAAACGAGTACAAACTAGAGCACATTTCACGAAATCTAGATGATTATGTTGAATTTAACACCATAAGGGAGGAGATGTAAGAAAAAATCATAATTGAGGGGTAGATGTAATTATCCAAACAAGAGAATTTTTTTTTTTAAATTGGCCATACCTCAGGGGGGTGGTTGTAATTTATCCAAATAAAAACTGAGTAAATATTGTATAATATAGGGCAAATTGCATATCATCCCCTGTAATTTTTTTATTCTCGCACTTTATCCCCTAAAAAAATTTAAAAGTGAATGTCCCCTTTCAAAATATTATTCTTGTTGCACATTGCCCGCCCCAGTAGCAAAACTCTGATGGACTATTCATCGGAATTGAGTATTTTTCACGTTGCCCCTTTAAATGTTATTTTTGTTACACATTGCCCTTTAAAAACACTAATTTTTTACACGTTGCCCCTTTAAAATGTTATTTTTGTTGCACAATGCCCTCCAAAATTGGTTTCTGGGGCAAAGTGCTAGCAAAATAATATTTCGAAGGGTAAAATATACCTTTTTTGAATATTTAGGGGGAAGTGCAAAAATGAGAAATTTATAGGGGGTGAAGTGCATTTTATCCTTGTATATATATATGGGTCTCACCGTGTGATATAATCTTGGAACATTAACTGCAACAAGTGGATCCATATTGATGTTCAAGTGATTTATTAAGACTTGAGCGACCGCATCAGGTATTAGCAATCCTCCAGCTGCACCTATAACTGCCTTTACTCGTCCGTCCTAAAAGCAAGAGTTAAGGAAAATGAAATGGCGAGAAAAAGAACTAAAATTAGGACAAGTTACGGCCATCCCCGAGGTAAGGTCAAATTACGAAAAAACCCCTCTTGTTTGCATAATTACAACCACCACTCAACTGTGTATTATCTTATAGTCCACTCTTATGATGCCAAATTCACCTAGCGGTGTCCATCCGGTCGGTAAACCGATTGAATCAAACTGAACGAAAATTTGGTGTGATATATATATATATATATATATATATATATATATATATATATATATATATATTAGTATTTAAACTAAAATTAATTTAAAAAATAAAAAAATTAAAAATCAACTTTCTTTAAAAATTAATAAAATTTGGTAATTCGGTTATTTATCGAACCAAACGCTAAACGGTATGAAATTTTGGCGTACCGAAATTTCGGTACAATTTATGGAATGAACGCCCCTAAATTTACCAAGTTGAGGAATTTTTTCGTAAGATAATACATAGTTGAGGGGGTGTCTGTAATTATGCAAACATGAGGGTTTTTTTCGTCATTTGACCTTACCTCGGGGGTGGCCGTAATTTGCCCCTAAAATTAACCGAGTTCCAAATTTTGAATCGAATTTCTCACCTTAACAAAAATGGTAGGTGCCATTGAGGACAAAGGCCTCTTGAATGGTTGAATAAAATTCGCAGGAGATGGCGGTGGGTTGCTCGATCTGGGGATCGAGAAATCGTACATTTGATTGTTTAGAAATATCCCCGTACTTGTTGACATCATTTTCGATCCAAAGTACGAATTCAAACTCATAGTCATCGTAACAACGTTCCGTTGACTATCTACAACGCAGAGATGTGTCGTGCCGTGATCATATATCTGACTCCATCTGCACTAGTGAAATCTCACGAATCCGTTAAAATTAATTTAATTTAATAATAATTAATCACGAAAAATCGAAGAAACACGTCGCGAAGCAACAAAACAACTCCATTTATGGTGGATATTCTTTCCACAAGGAGTTAAGAGCCGTTTGACAATGAATGAAAATAAATAACATATCGAATCACTAGAAACGGTGATCGACTTACTTGCTACCGTAATGAGCAGGATCGTATGTTTTCTTGTCGTTTATCCGTTTCTTTAAGCCTCTCGCATATCTTGTTGAGATCATTTTTTTCAAGATATTTGTGACGTTTACGAATCCGGGATCTCCAAGACCTATCCTCGTTGCAAGCGCGTATTTCAATGCCTCAACAAAACGATGTCTCTCCAATGAGTTCGAAATGCCGGTTTTTTTATAGTTAGAAAGAATCTTAAGAATCTGTTACAAAGAAAGTCGAATCCTAAACACGAACCCTTCCAAATCTTACCATATAAATGAAAAAGGGTAAATTACACCCACACCCCTGGGGTATGCTAAAATAATTTTGAGGTCCCTATGGTATCGATAATTACACTCATCCCCTGAAACATAGTTAGAAACTCTAATGGGATTAATACATTTGATACATTATTCCGATAGAGTTCTAACGGACTATTAGTTTCAGGAAGCGTGGAGACAACAAAGAGTTATCGGTGATTTAAGAAATGTTGCAGGAGCCATGTCACCCCCTAACTCTATATTGTCTCCACCACTAGCTAAAAGTAATAGTCAGTTAAAACCCTAACGGAATAACGTATCCAATGCATTATCCCATTAGAGTTTCTAACTATGTTTCAGGGGTGAATGTAATTATCGATATCACAGGGACCTTAAAGTTATTTTAGTATACCTCAGGGGTGTGGGTGTAATTTACCTAGAAAAGAAAAAGAAAAATTGCTTACAAGAATTAACATGGCGCCACCCGTAGCGGGAGGAGGTGTAGTAATTATTTCATATCCGAAAACATGAGCAACCAAAGGTTTCCTCACAATAGCTCGATATTTCTGAAAGTCTTCTTTTTTTATTATTCCACCCGCCTTTCGGATGTCTTCGGTTATGTTTTCCGCTATCGGTCCGTTATAAAAAATGTCCGTGCCGTTTTTCGATATAGCTGCCAACGTATCCGCCAACTTTTTGAGATGAATGGTATTGCCTTTCGATAAGAGCTTTCCGTCGGGAGCAAATATGCTCCGAAGCTCCTTATCGGACATGATACTTGACTTTGTATATCTCATTGTCTTGAAAAGAGACGGTGAAATTTTGAAGCCTTTACGGGCGAGATTCTCGGCTGGTTTTACGAGAGATTCCCATGGAATCTTCCCGTATTGTTTGTGAGCTGTGTAGAGACCTGCTAGTTGTCCTGGAACAGCTATAGCTAGAGGACCGTCTTTCCACTCGCAAATATCCCGATCGAACATATCCTAAATTTCGGACAACGTTTAGTTGGTACAAAATCCGGGTCGATCGTCGATGTCTAAATATTAAAATTATAGGGGTACATTTATAAATTTGTAAAGATGCTATGCATAAAGTATAAACATATATAAGATTTATTTATATATAAAAGAATTTATATATTTTCATACAAATATATTCATAATAAACATATTATCAACTATCAATTTGCAATTGATCATTAAATTATGTAAATAATTAGGGAATCAAC